CAGGGTAATTTCTAATTCCTATTAGATCTGGCCCTCCGGTATATTGCACGCACACCTTCACTCCATCCTGAGGGTCTCCTCAGCTCAGAGCCTGAGCCCAAACATTGATGACCTTGCACCCAAGATGAGATGCCAAGTATTTGAACTAGCATCACAGAGCAGCACACTGAGTTTAATGGATGTTCCACTTTCTCTCTCACGACAACAGGGCATGTTTGGTTTTCTCTTTGAGGGAAATAGTTTTGTTGAAGCTGTTGTTGGCCTGTGGGAAAATGTAATCATAAGAAATGACTCTGGAGAAGCTGCAGATAGAGCCATAAGAAATGAATGCAACTGATTATTTAATGTTTAATGTTGTTTTTATAGGCAATCATTGAAGCTTTGTTAGTTCCAGGTTTAATATGTGCAATAACTTCATTTCAATACGTTCTGCAATAAACATTGAACCAGTCCGGCCCTCGACTGGTACCCATTTTTTAATTGTGGCCCACTGTGTATTTCAGTTTGACCCCCCTGGTCTACAATATGTGTGTGTTCCTGATGACTATTCCCACACTAAGAGCCATGCTGCTACATGACTAACTACTCCCCCTCCTTTATGGACATAAAAATAGACAAAGCATCATCTGGAAAAGATAACGATCCACATTCGTTCCCAGGAAAAATAATGAATGACTAACAGCATTTTTTGGATGCATCCGATTTGCAGTAATGGAAACAGACCCTCAGGATAGATAGTTTAGTTTTAGGACTTTGTGGTGTGATGCTATGTCAGCACTTTGAAATACAGGGGATTAGGACAATTATTTTAATTAATGATCATACCAACAATAATTCTTATGCTCTCCTCAAAGCCACCAGACTCCATCGACAGACTCAGTCATTTCCCCTCAACGGTCGTAGAAAAACACGAAACCACCTTTAAACTGTCTGCTGTTCTGAAAAACTTAAAAAAATGGTTTTACAGTTTGAAAGACAGACTTAATAAGGAACAGATATAAAAAATAAGTAACACGGTTAAGGTTAGTTCATTTATATAGTACCTTTCAAACGCAAAGGCAATTCAAAGTGTTTTACATAGGCAGCTACACATAACCAGCAAGAACAAAACCAATCGGACAAAAAGACAATTCATAAGAGATAGAAAGTAGTTTAAAAGTAGGTATATAATGCTGCAAGAGGTGCTGAAGTGCAATGATAAAACCAGAGTTAAAAAGCAGCATTAGAGAGCGATAACCAATTTCATTTGGAAAGGAGTCAATCGACCCATTTTGTCCCTTTTTTTAACTCATTCAAAAAGAATCTCATTTTGGTGTAAACCGAGTACTATTTATTCGTTCTCTGTGGTTTTCTTCCAGACTTCCAGGAGACAGCGTCGGCCCCCTGTGATCCTCTGCTGATTGGTCAAGTGTTTGAGAAAGAGGATCAAACACCGGCCTGTCAGAGCCAATCGAACGCCTTCACCCTCTCCAGACCGCGGGACTTCATCTCCGCTTTGAACAAAGAACGAGACTCCATGACACAAAGCCAGAACGATCGTCCACATGCCGATGAGAGGCAGAATAGACAGAGGTGAGTCTTTACAGGACGTTCAGACTAAACACCGTGCTTTCCAGAGGTCCTTTGCATGTGGTATTTTTCACTTTTTATTTTAATTATCCAGAAAATGTTATATTGTTTATGTTTGATAATATCTTTTTTTTAATCATTTTTATTCTCTTTTCCACTTTTTAAATTATTTTAGGTATTGTCTTTTAAAGTCTGAACATACTTCTGCTTCTGTGATTGGGATCAATAAAGTATCTATCCATCTATCTATCTATCAATAGCATCTACTGTTTTTGTCATTCCTAATTTGGATTTTGAACTTTCTTCTCTGTCTTTAATGAATAGTTTGTTTGCCTTTCTCTGTGTGTCTAAAGCACTATTAGTTGCCTTTGTGTCTGCAATGTGCTTAACTAACCTCAACTTTAAATGACAACACTAGCTGAACTACACTACCAAACATAACTCTTTTATAATATTTACAATCCTTACTGAAGGCTTGAAGTGGCAAGAGAGACTCTAGCTCTTTAACATTGTAAGCAAAACTGCCATTGGCCAATTCCCCACCCTTAGAGATGTTATAGAACCAGCTACATGAACCTTTAGCTGGTTTAACAGATGTTCTGATTTAATGTCCACTACAAATCGTACCCATTGCTTCTTAAAGTCTTGACTTGTTTGTGTCCTGCAGGTCGGAGCTGATTGGTGGATGCCATGTTTCCTCCGTCTGTGAAAACTCCACATCCGAGCCAAACCCCTCTGCTCTCAACAAACCAAAGTGTGACATTTCTAAAGAAAGAGATCAGCAGGATTCACCAGCTGTCCAATATATACAAGACCAGCAGATCCACACAGGAGGCGCTGACGATACGTTAAACAAACAAGTGCTGAGTGTTCACGAATCGCCTGAATACGGAGAGTTATCCACAGCTGAGCTTTCCCCAGGACCAGCTGGAGATCAGGCCCAGAAAGAGACACTTTTCCTGGCCGAAGGAGAGTCGGATAACCTGGGCGTCTCTGGAGGACCAAAGAACGACGGACAGCCTGATTCTTCATCCAACACCAGGATGGTTCTGCAAGGTTCTTCTGTGATCTTTGCAGGAGAGAAACCTCACTACGGTCAGCATTCACACGTGGCCTTTGACCCCTCACAGGTTTCTGGTCATAGGGTCACAGAAACGTCAGAGGACCACCGAGCAGGAGCACTGAGTCCGTGGTCCTCGTGTCAAAACGCAGAATCTAATCCTGTCGACCGGCTGCCGACGTTCACCAGCCAGCGACCGCACGACCTCCCCACTGCTGCGGGCCAACAGGCTGCGTCTGACAACAGGTACTTCTGCTGCAGATTAAACACGATACGTCTGGAAATATAACAATTTGTCAATTCCCACAGCATTGGTTTTTAATAGGAAAAGGGAAAAGGGTTTGTAGCGGCCAGTTAAAAGAATAAAACTGAAAATAAAGTGAATCTTTATCGGGGAATAATTATCAAATGTCCCGGCAAGAACGTTGTTTTGTTCGTTCATTGTCGATGAACAACAGAGGAACATGGTAAAAAACATATGCTAACCCACCACCATCTGTCTCCAATATATAATAATCACCAGTTCCCAAAACAAAATAAAGATATAATAAAAATAAAAGCATGAAGAATTGCTTTAATTATAACAAAAAAAAAATGATACATTTACCGTATATAAATAATTAAATAAATAATCAATATGTAGCTCCATTAGGGTTATGCAATGTGTCTCACGGATTGTAAAATATATTAACTATTTAGGGTACAGAAAATAGTAGTTTTTAAATATAATTTTGGTAACACTTTATATTAAGGTACACTTATTCACCATCAACTAGTTGTTAATCAACGTATTAGAGACAAACTACTAGCTTATTGGTTATGAACCAGACTTCACTTTAAAATAGGGAATTCTGAGTTAGAAAAACAACATTTTGAGTTATTTAGACACAATTAACACTTATAGTTTCATGTCTTGTTCCATAAGAATAGACCATATTTGTTAGGTGTTATTATGAGAGAATTACTATTCTTATGGTACTACCCCATATTGAGCAGAGCATATTAAGACCCAAACTCATGTAAAACAACAACTTCCTTACTTGCAATAAATAAGCACTAATTAGAGGGTCATTGAGGAAAGACTCTCAACTAATGGGGCCTACCTGCCTACCTGCCTGTCAGCCTTCCATCTGTGCACAAACGTATCTCATGCCCTCATTGGTCATGTGTGTTGGGGGAGGGGCTCTGTAAGGAAGTCTGAAGGAAGTGGCAGATTTTCTCCGGCTGTGTATTTTCAAATTCTAGCGCACTCGAGCTGCTTTCTCCATTCTTACCTACCCCACCTTTAATATAAAGTGTTACCATAGTTGTTTTTTTTACGGGTCAACGGACTGCGTCTAACACCAGGTACTTCTGCTGCCGATTAAACACAATATGTGTGGAAATATAACAATTTGTCAATACCCACAGCATTTGTTTGTAAAAGGAAAAGGGTTTGTAGCGTCGAAACAAAGGAACCAGAAAGCAACTCTTACGCAGGGAATAATTTTCCGATGTCCCGGCAAGAACGCCGTTTTGTTCATTTATTGTCGATGATCCAATCCAATCTAACTTTATTTCTATAGCACATTTAACAATAGCGTTAAAAAACATTATTAATAAATATGATATAATATAAAAGTACTTTTCAGAGTACAGATACAGTGCATAATAGATTAATAAAAAATACAAAAATGAATCAAATGCAAACAGGACTGAGCAGTGGCTGGTGACGAAGCACATTATGTAAATGAATGGCTGAGGTTTGACCCAGACTGTATCTTATCTAAGATCAGAGGTAACAGTTAAGGAATGGACCCGAGAGCTTTCTGAACCAGTTATTATCCCACCCAGTCGGTAAGTTCACAGTTTGGCAATTGAACTTGGCTCGTAGAAGTTGAGAAGTGAGCCGTTTGCCAATAGTTTGTTCCCTATCGTTTCTTGATTAAATAATTGAATGAGTGATGAGTTACCTCCTCAAACATTTCATACATTAATCAGATATCTTATTTAAACAAAAGATCAGCCAACACAAGTATTCCTCTTCATGGTGGACGAACCCAACAAACCCCAAAGAGCGTGGATCAAACAACCGGGCCTCAAATCCAACAGACTTATTCAATCTTTGTATTGGGGGGCCAGATTTAAGGGTCAAGGGACTGGCTCAGGAAGCTAGGAGTCTAAATGTGAATGCAGGGCTTCTTTAAGTCTTAGAAATAAGTTGTTGTTTTGATTAATAAAAGAACATGTTTGCATCTAAGACAGACATTAGCCATTGTGTAGAATGACTTCTAATGTTTTCTAATTACGTAACGATGAACTGTGATGTTAACACCCACAAACTTAAAATTAAGCAGGACATTTAGCATTTGTTCAACATCTAAACCAGGGGTGTTAAACATACGGCCCGGGGGCCAATACCGGCCCGTGGAATGACTTCCCAAAGTGTAAAAATGTAGGAAGAATTTTGGTTTGGTGGAACCCTTTTGTTCAAACACTGCCACGACTTTTATGTAATCTTGTATGAATAGATTTTATTTATAATGCAGGCGGATAACTTAACCTTTTTCCTTAATAGTCACGATTCAAGGTTTTATTGTTGTGTGCACAGCAGCTAGAGTGTAGATATGGCAATGAAACACTGAAGGCCCAGGCTCCTCCAACAGAGCAAAATGAATATACTGTATAGGACAAACAGATCAAATAGTGCAGGAAGAGTCTATATACAAGTCAATGGAATATGATATATAGATAAATGAGATGCAAACAGATGAATGTTATGGATGTTCTTTCAAAAGTGCAAGTGCTTAACAGACTTAGGGCCTGTGGGAAGAAGCTGTCTCTGAGTCTGGCGGTTTCGGTCCGGATGCTGCCGTACCGCCTGCCAGACGGCCGCAG